GGTTCGTGCCGTGGCGGCTCGCGCGATGGCTTCTGCCACCGCGTGAATCATGAAGCCTTGAACGATTGACGCCTTCCGATCGCGCAGGATTGTGCGATGTCAGCAAATTCCGGTCCCCTGACAGCGTTCAACCTTGAACGCCAGCGCTGGAGTCGCCTCCGAGTGGGCACGGCACGAACTTGCCGTAAGAAAACAGGGAGTTGGGAGCTTTTTCCTGGAAGACTCCTTAAAAGCGGACCCAGGAGCAGCCGAAAGGACCCAAACGAGGCCATGAAAATCAACGAAGCACCCAACCAACCACCCAACCAACGAAGCAACGACCCCCTCAAGCAACCACCGGCCAATCAATCCATTCGCCACGCAATTCGGCCGACGGAGACATCTTTGTTCGAGGCAACGCCCATACGCGCGCATGATAGTCTCTGCGAGATAGTTGATCGACAGTCGTTACAACCAATGGGAAAATCACTGAGCTCTTCTCGGGTTTTCGCCACCATGCCTCTGGGCACGGAGCGGGCGTGTCCTCAAGTCTTTTGAGCAGTCCGCTGAGCCTCAGTCCTCACTCCTGAGGAAGCTCTCAAGGGCCCCGACCCCAAATTCTCAAATCTTCTCGGGCTTTCGGCCGTTTTCCTGGGGGGTGCCGCGTCTTGTCGCGAGACTTCTTCAAGCCCAAAAGGGCCTAAGACGGGCCAAGCGGGCTCCCAGAAGCCGCCAAGACGGTCCAAGAGGCCCACGAGTTACCGAACGACCGCCCCAGGACGCCCAAGATGGCCCCCTGACGGCCCAAGAGGCCTCCAAGACACCCAACGAAGCCTCCAAAACGCCTCGCACGAGGGCCCCAAGAGGCCAAAATGATTGATTGTCCTAAGGTTTGTGAAGGATTATGGCGTTCTTGACGCAACGCGTGCAGCGCCAAGTCCACCCGACGCTCCAGCGGCATGCACTGCTGCATGATCGCCAATTTCCTGCATCGTGGGGGCACGTGCACGAACTAGGGCTCGTCCTCGATGATGCGCCGCCACATGGCATTGCAGCCGTCGCCCCTGTTCACGTCCCACCCAGCCACCTTGTCGAAGCCCTGGTCATCTCTAAATCCCAACCTCACCGCGACTGGCACGATCCGCCGTGGGGAGAAAAGCTCAATCACCACCCTCCAGCCTGCGGGCCCCGACCCGACCGCACTGGAAAATCGGCGTGGGCAGAGCCCCCATCAACCTCGATCACGCTCTGCACGTCCACGGGCGACATGCGGGTCTGCAAGCAGGCCCGCTTCACGACTCAGAAAGTCAATATGATCTCGCAGCGCCCTGCCGCCGTCTCCTTCAACGGCATCGGCATGTGGAACCGCTTCAGGCACATCGAGTCCGTCTCGCGGTCGATCGCGGCACCTTGGGCCTTCAGATCAGGCTTGCTCATCAAGAAACCAGCCGGCACCACGTGAACCCCGAACGTCACCCTGCAGACCCAGACAACCCAGTAAAGCTCGACAGCGCCGATCGACACCTGCACGCCGTCGTCGAAGCCGCGGAAGCGCATCGGCCTCACGTCCTTCAGCCACATCGCCTCTTGGCCCGTCGCTGCCTCGCGCTTCGCCTCTCCGAGGCGATCCGCCGCAACTTTTCCGGAAAACCGCTCGACGAGGAGCGCGATCACCACCTCCTCGCCCGACTCGACGCTGGTTTCCGCGAGGTCCACGCTCTCGACCGCCAGCGCCGCCTGGCCGTCCAAAAAACGTGTACAACTACGGGCCGAGCGCCTCGGCCGGAGCGCCCTTCGATTTCTGCACCACTGTCGCAGCCTCGGCCCACCTCTTCCACACTTTGTAGGCCGCCGCACCGTCGGCGCCATCGCCGTTGAAACGCGTCTGGTTGAAGCTGACACCGTCCGCCATCGCCCCTGTGATGAACTCTAGTTCTATCACCTGCTCCTCACCTGCACGTCAGGCTCAAACCACAGCGACTCCCGTACGCGAGTGGAGTCGAACTCGATGATACCTTTGCGCCTGCTGAAATCGGCTCAAGGCGCCCGCGCTCCCCGGGATGGCGCACCAGTCTGGCCCACAGTGGCTACACAGCACACGCACCCGCAAGCACACTCAGACCACCCGGGAAATCACAAGTCCTGTTATGTGGGCACACTCACACGAATGGGGAGACCACAAATCCTCGAATGTGGGGTCGTGCTCGCAGGTCCCAATCTCCAAACGCACCCCGTGGGCCCCCAGAACCTCCACATCTACACCCCGTGGCCTCCAAAATGCCAAAGATGCCGTGTGAGCTGGCCCAACCTGAGCTCCATCACGCCGAGGAGAGCTAAAAACCACCAAGATGGCCTCAAGGCGACCCGAGTGGCCTCCAAGCTACACCAACAAGGATCCAGGAGGACCCCAAAGGATGTCCCAATAAGCAAACATCGTCCCAATCCATCGTGAAAACGCAGATGCTCAGCATGCACGTCTCTTCGGGGTTATCCAGCATGCATACCTTTACTGCTAGGGGAGGGACGATACACACACCGAAGATATACGCAACGATGTCATACAGCAGCGTCAGTTTGTGTAGTACTTTCTCTTTAACGACGTCTGACACCGATGCATCACACCGCGGCCGCGACGTACGGCCAGCCGATCAACGAGATTAGTGGCTGGGGGACACCCTCGTTGGCAACGCACGCGTGGATGGCAACAGTGTAAGTGGCCACATTAACAGCCATCCACCATGCAATGAGAAAGGTAATAGTGAGAAACTCAGGTGCGCATGATGCAGGCGTTCTCTCATATGTGTTAATGATGTTATCATCAGCCGCTGCTCTTGCACCGCAATTGGGAAAGAAGTGCCTGTACGCGATCGGCCAATATTAACGCTGCACTTGCGCC